TCTAGGCTTCCCTCTCGCCAGGCCGTTAACGCTCAGCGCCGGCGGCCTGCTGGCACAGCGCAAGGGCGGCGGAGGAAGACGCCAAAGGAGCAAACGAAATCTCAAACGCGGATCCCGCGGCTCTTGCTGAGCGAGGGGGTCGCGCTCAGCGTAGCCGTTAACCGCGTTGAGCGACAAATAGACGGAAGCTGACTTCTCAAGAAGATACTTACGGAGGAGCAGCCCCAAGTTCAGGAGGGTCTGACGTGTTTGCGGTCCCGTGCAGGTTCGCTGGAGCGAGGGCTGGTGTCACAGCTGCCATCGCGCTGGCCTGGGCTTTTTGGTGCCCCAGCTCCTCAGGGGCACTGAAGGCAGCAGAACTTTGCATTGGCCAATAACTCTAAGACAGGGCACAACTTGGTTCGTTAATTGGGTGAGGGTACACAGCATTAAATGCTGCTCCTCCCGGGAGCCGCGAGGAGCGAGCTGGGCCCAGCACCCTACGCCTCCTCCGGTATCATCCCAGGTTGCCTCCCCGATCTACCAGTCACAGCTTCTTTCCTCACAACCCCACTCCACACTTGAACAACAACAAAAAAAGCAATTTCACAGCAGGGCTCACAGCCCCAGGGGCGCAACAGCTTTCCAGACGGGGTCACTTCACTGGCAGAAATGGGGCCATCATTAGAAAAGTTGCAGTGAAAAAGGCCAGGCAAGCGGGCTGGGAGGAGGATTTGGGCCATCAGCATCACCAACCATTGAGGTGCTTCCCACCAACAAGCCATCACCAGGCCACGTAACCTTGGTCCCCCTTCCAGCCACCCATCCTCACCCACTCCTTGTCCGTGAAAAGTTCAAGGTGGAGGGGACCCGCTGGAGGTCTCTGCTCCAACCTCCACTCAAAGTGGAGCCAGCTTCAGAGGTGGATCGGGTTGCTCAGGGAAGAGTCCTGTTTCCAACACCTCCAAAACCATGGGTCTCCACTCAGCCGCCTCTTCTCTAGGCTGATCCACTCTGGCTCCCCTGACTGTCCTTGGCCACCGCATGCGCTCCAGCCCCCTCGCACATCATCTCAAAGGCTCAGGGCTTCCTTTCCAGCTGAAACACAGATCTGCAACATCCAGGTCTGAAATAACCAAAATAATCTGTCCAGACCATTTATTAAACCCCTATGCAGGACCTCAAAGAGGCAATACTAGACTCTGAGAAAGACAGGAATTGCCTGACTACAGATAACTGGTGGTTTCCTGTTCTGGGTGTTCTAGACTTTCTTTCCAGACTAAGAGCACGCGCAGGACCAGAAGGCAAGGCTAGCAGCAAGGCCAAGCACCCTGCTCCGCCTGCTTCCCACTGGGAAGCCAAGGGGACACCATCAAATTAAGAACTGTACAATGAGCATTTGGATTTGCTTCAGCTTCATGTTGTGAAGTGGCCATACTCAGGTACCAGCGAGGTAAGGCCTGTTTTGGAAACGGGATCAGTTGGCGGCACGTGAAAATGGGAGCCTGGGAGGGGGGGCAGGGGGAAACACCAACAAAACCAGAAGAAAAGGTAAGAACTGGAAATCCAGCTCCATCTCTTCTGGCCAGACATGTGACACCAGCACTGTCAGATAGGACCTGAGCAGCAGCGAGGAGAGGGGCAGAGCCGGGGCTGTGCCCTGATCCCGCCATCCAGGCCCTGTGCAGTACGAAGGACTCAAAAGCTTTCTTGCACTTTCAGAGGGCACAAGCTCCAGAGTCGCTCTCTGCACGCTACAACTTACTTGACAGTGAAAAGCAGATACTTTCTGGCATCCTTCGTTTCCCGTCTGCCTGGCCTCTTGCCGAAACCCTACCTGCAGCCGCAGTGAAACCACGGGCTGACTGTGCCATCTAGCTTCCACACTTGGACTCTGCTACGCTTGGTTTTCTCTTGCCAACTTTTTCAGCCCTATCCACTGAAACGGTAACTGTACACCTAGTATCTGGGGACAGCAGAAATCCATGCATGCTTTTAGTCGAAAATCTCTATCCTGCTGGAAGCCGCTCCGCAGCGCAGATGGAAGGGCAGGGAACAGGGAAAACCATGTCCAGAGGACACCTACTTTCCTGGCCAAGCAGCTGTGGTCCTGCTAACCATCCCACCACACTAGCATAGATATCCGCAAGCAACAGCGGTAAAGGAAGAATCGGTTGCTTCTAAGCAAGCCATTGCTGAAAGAGTTAATATTAACGACTGTGCTCTGCCTGGGGTGCTCCACATCAGAAAACATTGGGAAGATCATACCCCCCACCACCACCTGGTCCCACAAGCCATTTGTTGCTATAAGCACACAGATTTCAACCAGTTAAACCTGTGGGCAGGTCAGTAAGCCAGGTGGTAGACCCCTTCCCTTGTCTGCTCCCACTCAGCTGGAAAAGGCTGAAAGCACCAAGGATGACAAGCCTGGAGGAGGGCTCGAGCCCTCTCACCAGGGCTGACCAAGCCACCCAAGTCCCCAGCTCCGGCTCTCAGCCAGGCCCAGCACAGGACAGTTAAGTGGCTCAATCTGGTGTAGGTCACAGCCATCCCTACAGGGTAGGGTAGGGATAGTAGACCAAGCCCTCTTTTCCCCAGCAGGAGAGTCATCTCAAGACATCCCAGCTTTCACAGTAACCATGCTGCTGCAGCCCACCCGAAGGAATTGCATCCATCCAGCCCCCATCTGAGCGCAGACAGCTTCATTTCTCCAGCCTAAGGGCGAGTTCAAAAGCCGGTGTTTTACCCAAAGCGCTGCAAACCCCTGGAGCCTCTGACAAGCATAGATTTCATCTGGTGCATAACCCAACGCAATTTAGTGGGTTTTCCCCCCACTTTCAAATCCCTTATAAACTCTATTTCAGCAATTAGAGGTTCGTCTCTCAAAGCTAAGGCATCACTGTCTTTTACTTTGCTTCAAATACTGAACTTTATTTCCAAAAAAACAAGAATCCTTGAAGAGTATTTTGATTTTACTTGTTCTTTAGAGGAATCAGCAACTCTTTATGAATCATTTCACTTCCAAATAAGTTTGAGCTTCACAGCTGCGTACCTTCACAGTCTGTAACTATCAGCCTTAGGAAGAATCTAAATGCAATTTTCACTATGAGCTCAGGAAATTCAAGGTTTTAGCACCTAGTGTTTGTTATATATTGGGCAATACATACATAGTTAAGGCAGTAATAAGGTAAAAAAGCATTACAGTTTGTACTACACCACCTTCCCACTAGACTTAAAAGATGGGAGCAATAGAATTGGAAAAAAGGTAAGAACATTTAAGGCATTTGCAAAGTTACAAGGTGACAATTGAGATATTTTAATGTGTACAGAGCAATTCAAAAACATTGTAGTTCTGTTTTCAGGTAGGAAGTTGCTTTTCAGTTGGCCTCCCTAGCTATTTAGTAAAGCTTTTCTCACCACGTAGACGACAGATGCTGTGGTAGCTGGCTCTCAGGACCAGATCCTGAGCTGCTTTAGAGCAGCATAACTCACCGCCCTTCAACAGCACCCACGCAGGGCAGAGAAAGGTGCCTCAAAGCCATTTATAGCACAAAGGAGCTTTGCTGAGGAAAGAGGGGCAAATATCCACAACTCCAACAGACTCGACATCTCTTTGCAGCTCTAATTCTTCGCATAATTCAGGTACCATGGCTCTTTTCAAAACTTCCTCTCAGCTACCTGCCAGCAGCTCAAACCAAACACCCAGGGACCCTAAAATAGCAGTCAAAGGGGAACCCCATCCCACCTCGGCTGGATGCAGGACCCGTGCGAGGAGTTACCCAAGGACCTGCTCAGGAAGGCTCGGGACCAACAGGGGCAGATG